CTATTTTATCAAAGTCTTAGATAAGTTAGTAACTACACTTGGTTATAGTTATAAAAATTTCTGTATTAAAATAATTTGTCTCAGTGAGTCCAAACAACATAGATAATATCTTTGTGGTGATTCATTTTTCCTTATACACCTTTGATTTTTTTTTTGGTTATGGACATGCATTATGGATTTAATTTAAAATAAGTAAAATAACATTTCCATTTATGCTAAAGAGTGTAGGGTACCCACAGTTTATAGCTTCATTGCCTGGAGGTATGTGTTACAAACTACATTCCCTGTACATTTTATGCTTCTTTCCCTCACTTCACTGATCCTTTTTGCTATCAGAGTCCTTTTTGTTTGCACATTCAGAAGCTGTAACTGTTTTGGTCACATTTTTGTTTCTGAGTTGTTTTTGAGTTCTGGGTAAATGCCTTGTTCCTGTTTTCACTGGGATAGATCAGTAGCAATGCTAATGGCTATTTCTTTACTTTTGAAGTATCTGCAGTCACTTTATCTAGCTGATGATTCTCCTCCTCCTGCTCTTGCCCTCCCCCTTCTCCCCCCCATCTCTTGCTCTCTCTCATCTCTTTTCATCTGCCTCACTACCTAGATCTACAAATATAAAATGAACTACATATAACATATACCAATTCTGTTTTTAGAACTCAAACGCTGGCTGTTAACTAACTCCCCTCTGCTCTTGCCTCTTTGTGGTTCACCCAACACAGATCTCCCAGCTGCTACTTGAGCATTCCAGGCATGTAGCTGCATCAGGTTCTTACACTTGCTCTTCCATGAGCCTGGAATGTGGATCCATGAGGTTGCCTCTTCCTTCACCTCCTCTAAATCTTTGTGGAAATGTTTACTTTATGGTAAATCACTCTATTTAGAAATTTTACCTCTAGTTAGCACTCCTGATCTCCCTTTCCCATTTCATTGTATTTATTTTCCCCATAGCACTTACTACTTTTCAACCATCTGTAACTTATTTATCTTGTTCATGGTCTGCTTTATTATAAAATTCCGTGGTGTGAGTGAATGGTATCTATTTTTATTGAGGTACTTTTATCATCTAGAGGTATTTCTGCCACAGAGCAGGTCACCTATAAATAACTTTATTTGCTTTAAAATAGGAAACTCCATTTTATTTTACTTTATTACTTTTTTTTCTGTATGTAGAAGAACTGGGTGTAGGGCAAAGATGCAGGGGGTGAGAGGATTCATCAGAGACAGACTGGGGAGCAGAGTAGGAGGATTTACTGCATTACACTCCCGAGGGGAGCAGCAGGTGAGACAGAAGAGGTCTGCTGTGCCATATGCAGGTTAGCTCCTGGCTGTCAGGGGGAATCAACCTCAGTCTCTGTAGCAGTGAAAGTGCTTAGAATTAACCCCTAGGCTACCAGGGAGGCCCCAACAAATATGTATATATTGAACTATACTATAAGTTTTTATTTGAGCACAATGGTGGAAATACTATCTTTGAAAAATATATTTTATAGATACTGCTATATACTTTGTGAGCATTTAAAACTACACAGAGGTTTTTAGTTTAACTTAAATAGGACTTTGCTATTTATCATTTAGGTTTTCTGTATATTGCTTCAATCCTCAGAACTATAAAATGAGGTGATGACTCAACTACGAACACACATTTAGGGATGATGGTCTCAAATTAGTGCAGTGTTTTCATCTTACTCCTTAAATTGAACGGTATTAATTTGTCATAAAAACTTTTAAGTAATTACTTGTCTTTTAGTTCCCTGTGTATCAGGTAATTCAGATATTACAAAAATGTGCCAAAACAAAATATGGCAATTAAACAGCAGTAGCCTGACTCAACAAACTAGAGCACTTACTAGAAAACCTTACCTGATGAGGTGAGCAGAATTTCTTGTCACTAGTCAGTCTATTTCCATCCATGGAGAAAAGGAAGCTTCTTCTTTTGACACTATCTTCAGATTCAGATTTGGGAAACCTGTCTTCCTCTCCTTTGTTGTTTACCTCAAGATGTTCCCTCTGTCTTCTTTTCTTCCTTCGGTTTCTCCACTCTTTAGCACTTTTGGAGCTTAACTTTGAAGCTTCTGAAGAACTTTCTAAGAGCTCTCCTAGCCCACCTATTCCACTGAAATCTCTTGAAGCTGCTGATGCTGCTGCAACTGCCTGTTTAAAACAAAGCCAGGCACTATTTAGAACATATAACTTTGAAAAGAGTTGACTGTTTACATATTTTGCTAGTAGAGATTACTGACCATGTGAATAATGGAAGACTGATAACTAAACGGATGTGTGTCTTCTGATTCATTTCATTGTTTTACCACAAGAGAGTTTACTTAATAAAGGTACTTAGTTTTTGGTAGTATAAAACAATAGGCTAACCTCTGCACTAACCAAGAAAAGTCTGGTTTGGCTCATCTCTTGGAGTCTTATATTTTAAAAAATTGTAGAGTTTAGCTTCATTTCAGGACACAATTGTGCTCTTACAAACCAAGACATTTTATGGGCATGGGAAGGGGAGTGGGATCAGAACTGGGATGGGAAAAGTGTACTGGACTATGGTGATGGCACATGGGTGAATTGGTGGTGGGAAATCAAGGGGGATGATTACAACTGAGATGGAAAAAGGCACAAAATGAGAATGTTGTAAAAAAATAATGATAATAAACATCTTCTACACTTTTAAGCAAATGACCATTTACTGGTTGTCACTGGTCTATTTACTACTCAGTTTCATCCACACACTTATTCCTCCCACATGTGATTTTGAGCAACTAGGTAACAGTTTTTCACTCTAAATTTAGGACAGGAAAATTTTATTTATTTATTTATTTATTTACTATGAATTCATAGTATTTAAAGTTTTTGTGATTGTAGATGGCAAGTATTTTTTCCTTTTCCTTCATTTGATTGACAGTTATTATTAATGGCATGTTAATTCCTTTGTTAATCCCAGAGAAAAATAATTAATAAAATAAAAAAATAATTAACTTACTATATGGCACTTTCAAATTTTACATTTTTAAAAGTTTACAAATTAATTCTTATGATAAATTAATCATCTGTTATCATTTCTCAATCAATAAGTACCTGAAATAACAATTCAAAGTATTATGAGAATGCTTAAGCCTTTTTTTCCCACATCTCAATGCTAAGTATATTAAAACACCTTGAATTTCTATATTTACTCATGAAATACAGTCAGTTCTGGAGGGAATCATGGCAAACATTTTGTATTTTCACTTATTTGAATGGTATTTTTAGACTGGAGATGATCTAACCAGGACTAGAGAGGATATAAAACAACAACATAGTGCATATCAAAGTTGAATTCTTACTAATTATATTCCTCTTTCTAAATGTAATCATGAAGTGGAACGATTAAATTAGGAGAATAGTGCTACAAGTCTTTGCACTTGTCACTACTAAATACAAACAACTCTGATATATTTACCATTTTCTTCTATCTTCTCCACTAGACTACATACTGGATAGGAGTTTTGTCATATTTTTTATGCACATTGAATTTAAAAAGTAGGTGATCTGACATAACAAGCACTTCGTAAATGTTTAGTGAAAAGTCAATGGAAAAAGGCACCTACTGTTATCTGCGACACTAAGATGCGGTGGGGAAGGACAAGGTGCATTCAGACTTGGCTTTTGAAATCTCATAAAAGACTGTGTATCAGAATGGTCTCTAGGGATGACATATTTTAGGAAAGAATTGAATAGAATATGTTTTGATAGCACTTTATGCATGGTGTTTCCTATTCCTTGAGGAAAGGCAAACTCTTCAAAGTAGCTTCTACTTCTGAATCTCATCTTGACTAAAGTGCTTCTTTTTAAAAGGGTTCAGAAACCATAAGTCCTATGAAGTAAATTCTCTAGGACTATCATGATCCTAAGGATGAGTAGAATTCAAAATAGTACCAAATGCATATGTTGGGTTAAGCAATACATATAATGTAACATAGATATTTGTTTATATTGAATTCTGTATTCATTTATAGAAACCCATGTCTAGGACTCCTCATGAGACAATGCCTAGTTTTAATGAAACACTAATTCAAGATTTGGATAGTTATAGGATTGCATGTAATGAGATAACTGGATTGTTTTGAATTTTTGATCATTAGCATCAATTCTAATCATCAATGATAAGAAATAAGAGAATATTAAGGGCCCTTTCTAAATATGATTGTATATGTAAAAAAGTGAATAAATAAAGCTATCATCTGTAGCAATTAAATAAGTGGGAGGTACATAATATATACTCTTGATAAGTGGGAGGTACATAATATATACCATTATCCAAATAGAATTTTTGATTCCCTTTTTCACTGTGTATAGACAGAATATAAACCATAGAACATAACAATTGGTACATTCAATTGTTCATTCACTTATTTGTCATTAGAAACAAAGGAAGTGGTGATAAAATTCCCTTGGCATAATCCAGAAATTCATATTCATTTAAATCACTTCCAGAATTTGTTTTGTATAAGATTTGATTTCCCTACCTATTTTGGGTAACAGTTGGAATATCTAAAAAGTCAACATATATTTCTAAGGCAACAATGGTAACTCTCAGCACAAAACATTTTGTGTCACTCGTCAATTTAATTCTGTCACTTGTTCCACTTCCAGAGATTTACCAGTTCTTTCAAAGGCAGATGTTTCCTGTCATCTCTCATGTTGTGTACCTGTTTATACCCAACTGTATGGCTTTGCCAACATTATGCCTAATTATACTAACAGTGATATTTTCACAACCGGCTTGCTCAGTTTTTCTTGTAACAAATAACTGTATATTTCATATTCACACAGAGGTTACCATTTTCTTCTTAACACCATTTCAGTATGAATCAAAAATGTTTTATAGCTCATTGTATTTGTGATCTTAGGGGAATGGAACCACTTGACTGTATTCATGATAATACTGCTTCTCAAACCTAAAATTCTGCTTTAAAATTCCATTCAAAATAAGACATTAAGAATATCTGTTCCAATTTTACCCCAAACTATTTTGGAAATCTTAATTTACTATTTGCTTTTCCTTCTGAAGCAGCTGATAAGATGGCAAACATGTAACAATAATTTCAAAACCTGAATGTCTTGCACTAATGTGGGGAAGGAAGAAAGCTCCAAATGTTCTTAATTTATTGCCTTGAAACTACAGATATTAGTGTAGAGAGGATTTATCTCTGCAAACTTCATGAAGGTAGGAGATGGAGCTGAGTCAAGGGATACTGAGGTGCCTATAACTTATAGGAGTCTAGGGGAGAGAATTAGGCAGAGAGAACTCTGGAACTCGTCCAGTGGTCTGCTTGAATATGACAGGATTCTTAGACGATTAAAAAAATGATTAAAACACAATAGTATGGAAATAATGCAAATAGAAAATGACCTAAAGGTGTGAACTTCCACTCACAATGAAGCTTATACATATAGAAAATAAGATAGAAAGAAGCGCAACATCATCAATAAGATACTTAGATAATAGCAAAGACAAACTACACCAGCTATTGGCAAAGATATAGAGGAACTATAATTCTTACCAAATGTGAATACTATTTTATTGTCTTCCCAGGATTTTCACCAATCTAGAAAGCTTTTTTTTTAAATCAAGTACTGTTCTGTGTGTTTTTTTTTTCCTCTTCAAAGCATGAATGCCCAAGTCACCTTGCCACTAACTCAAATATTCTTTAACATTAATGAAAATTTCAGGTTATAATCTAATAGCAGCTGCCTTTCTGATCCTGATAAGGGATCCAGCAAATACCTTCTGTGCTACAAGAGCACCAAAAATAGGTAAGAAAACTTTGACAAAGTTTTCTTGTTAATATTTGAGTTCACTTAACTTCAGGATGAAATCTCAAATGTTATAATTTAGGGCTGAAATCTTAATAGTTAGAAATATGGATTCTGTATTTTCTCCTCATTAAACTGAGAATCAGATTTCCCTAAGGTTTCATAAGACAGTTGTATCATTAACCTTATCCTAAATGTGTTTTCTACCTCCAATTAATTTCTTCACATAAGATGTCTAAACAGTTCCTTTGACTCTTCAGAAGCAATTTTAGGTTTGAATAGCTTTCTCTTTCTAATGACAATACCCACATACCAAATAAAAGTCACGATATGACTTTTTACTTCAAACAAAATAACAACAACATCAGCAAATAAGCTTTGTGTATTATCACTCATTACCTGGGCTTCTTCCTGTTGCTTTTTAAGCTGTTCAAGCATCTGCTGAAATTCTGCCTCTTTCTGTTCTGCCTCTTCCAATGTGGCCTGATTCTGTTCCTCATAGGCCATGGCTACTACAGCCAGGATCAAATTCACCAAATAAAAAGAGCCCAAGAAAATCACCAGGACAAAAAATATCATGTATGTTTTTCCAGCAGCGCGTAATGTCTAGGGGAAGAAAAGGATAGTTTCATCAGTGTCTTATAAAACATCTCCAAATAAAAATCTCATTATCAGGTGTGCATAGGAGAGTCACATTAGCATTTAATATATATATATATATATATATATATATATTTCATTATTCTGAAAGTTAACTTTGTATTTATTTTTTATTAAAGAACATTGTTACAACATTTTATATGCATCAGAGGTATCATACCATAACCTCTTCAGATGTATGTTACCACACCACACCCCCCATCAAGGTACCATGTCCTCAGTGATAGCCTACTGGGCCTCTCCACACTTTGTTCTCTATACCTCTGATGGCCTCAACTTTACAGTCAGATATCCAGCATTTGATTTTGGTTTGGTTTTGTCTTACATTTTGCTTTACTTCTCTATTCCACATGTGAGTGAAACCCTCTAATATTTATCTTTCTCCTGACATATTTGATGAGCATAATACCCTCTAGTTCCATCCATATTGTCAAAATAGCAAGTGTTCACTTTTATACAGCTGATCAGTGTTCCATTATCATCCAAAACATTTTGACCAAGAAGAGCATTTTACTGGAATTCAAATATATATCCAATATATATTAATTAGCAATGTGTATATTTATATCATTATGCTACAATCTTCAAATCCTTTGTGTATCATGTGTGTATGTGTATGCATTTTAACACCAAACTAATTTTACCCAATAATTTTGATTGAGATTATTTTCTTGCTAAAATACACACTTAATGGTAATAGTTAAATGACATGAAATCTGTAGTATAACTTAATATAAGCACACAGGTTTCAAAATAGTATATATTGGATATACATTTGAACCCCAGTAAAATACTGTCCTTGGGGTCCATAATGCAGGATAGTACTATTAGTGCAACATTGTATCTTTAATTTCTTTCAGTGGGTTTTCACTTCCCTGACAGCCCACTATCCCTACCTTCTGGAGATGAGATAATTATTTCCTCTTCTTATAGACTCAATCATAGGTTTAATTTGAAATTTTTTTTTAAGATTTATTTATTTGGGCATACAGAACTGTGGTACAGGCCAGAGTACCTGGCGCAGCGGGTTAAAGCACAGCATTGAGAATCTAAAGCCGCTTCCTCATGAGTTTGATTCCCGCCTACCCCGGAGGTGACCACATGGCGTGGCAGACCTTTCCTGACCCGCCTGCTGCTCCCTTCAGCAGTGTACTTCGTCGATCTGCCTGTTCTGTTCCCCACTCTGTCTCTGGTGAAGCCTCTCGCTGCCCC